CATCCAGGTCATTGCAAATGGCAAGAGTTCATTTTTATGGCTGAATAATATTCCATGGTGTGTGTGTGTGTGTGTGTGTGTGTATACACACAATGTATATATAAATATCTTCTTTATCTATTCATCAATTGATGGATGCTTGGGCTGCTTCCATATCTTGGCTATTATAAATAATGCTGCTTAAGCATAGGGCTGTATGTATCCTTTCAAATGAATGTTTTTGTATTTTTGGGTAAATATCCAGTAGTGTGATTACTGGATCATAAGGTAGTTCTACTTTTAACTTTTTGAGGAACTTCCACACTGTTTTCCACAGTGGCTGCAGCAGTTTGCATTCCCACCAACAGTGCACGAATGTTCGTTCCTCTTTCTCCACATCCTCACCAATGCCTGTTGTTTCTCGTTTTGTTGATTTTAACCATTCTGACAGGTGTGAGGTGGTATCTTATTGTGGTTTTGATTTACATTTCCCTGATCGTGAGTGATGATGAACATATTTTCATGTTGTCTATAGGCCATCCCTGGAGGAAGTTTTTAAATAATATCCAATTTGTTAAATAGATATTGAGTTATTCTGATTTTCCATTTCTAGTAGATTTCATAATTTATATTGTCTTTTTAAAGGAATTTTACCATGGCATCTGGGTGGTTCAGTCGGTTGAGCATCCAGCTCTAGGTTTCAGCTCAGGTCATGATCACATAGATCACGAGATCAAGCCCCACGTTGGCTCTGTGCTCAGGGAGGAGTCTGCTTGAAGATTCTCTCCCTCTGCCCCTCCCCCGACTCGTGTGCTTGCTCTCTCTCTCTCTCTCTAAAATAAATAAATAAATCTAAAAAAATAAAAAGGAATTTTACCTTTTCACTGAAGTGTCAAATTGATTGACTTAAAGTTGTTCATAATATCCTCATATTTTATACTTAAATTATCTGTAAGATCATTTCTGATATTGATAATATGTGTTCTCTTTTATTGATCAATCTTGTTAAGAGTTAGTCAGTTTTATTATTTATTTCAAAGAAATCATTTTTCCTTTGTTGAATTTCTCTCATATATTTGTTTTCTTTTCATTAGTTTCTGGTCTTACCTTTATTATTTTCTTCCTTCTACTTTCTTTGTGTATGATTTGCAATCCTTCCTAAGAAGAAAGCTGAAATCATTGGTTTTCAGATTTTTTTTCTTCTACTATATACATTTCAGACTACATATTGTCCTCTAAGCACTGCTTGAGTTGCATCCCACAAATTGAGACATGTTACGTACTACCGTTCAGTATAAAACATTTTATAAATTCTATTTTATTTTATCTTTGATCCATGGGTATTTAGAAGTGATATGTTTTATTTTCAGGTAGTGGAAGATGGTCTAGTTGTATTTCTAGATTAATTCTACTGTGCCCAGAGAACCTATTCTAAATTATTTCAATCTGTTAAAATTTTTGATACTTGTTTTATGCTCAGCATAGGGTTGATTTTGAAAAAATGATCCATGTACACTTAGAAAGAAGAGGAATTCTATCACTGAGTGCAGTGTTTTATCTATTTCAATTAGGTCAAGTTTATCCATTGTGTTTTTTATATCTTTTATATACTTACATTTTTGCTACAGTTCCAACTATTAAGACAGGAGTATTAAATTTTCCACTATGTTTATAGATTTATCTATTTCTCTTTTAGTTCTGTCAGTTTTTGCTTTAAATATTTTATGGCTACATTTATGGATACCTACAAATTTAGAATCCTGCTATCTTCTTATGAAGTTATCATTTATATGTATCATTATGAGCCATTCCTTTCTATCTGTAAAAATGCCTTCTGGCTGAATGTTTCCTTCATCTAGAATTAATATAACTGTATCACTCTTCATTGATTAAGATTGCATGGTGCATTTTTTCCTTCAACCTATCTTGTTTTTATATTTGAATGTGTCTCTTGTAAGCAGCATAGAGCTGGATTTTTAATCTGACCTGCCAGTCTTATTTATTTAATTGGCCTACTTCATTTACTTTTAGTGAGATTACTTGTATCCTTGGGTTTGTGTCTACCAACATAACACATTTTTTTCCTATTTAGCCAACCTGTTTCTTCTTCTCTCCTTTTCACCTTTTTTGGACTAATCAACGTATTTTTATTCCATATTTTCTTCTATTGACTTGTTAGTTACTTATTCTTTTCTCTTTTTGTAATTTTAACCCACCTCCTTTGCTTACCATAGTCTTTTACAAATTTCTATTTAATACTTGCCCAAGAATTCTAGAACCTTAGAATCATTATGTTGTACACCTGAAACCAACAGGATAGTGTATATCAATTATACTTCAATGAAAAAGAAAAAAGGAAAGAATTCTAGAACCTTAGAATATTTTAACTCCATTTAACCGCCTCCCACATTTTCATTTTGATTCCTTATAAATGTTTAACACCATCGAACAATTACAATTATTGTTAGGCATAGTCAGTATTCACTTCCATTAACATTTTTACTCTGTGAGCTCTTTATTTCTTCCTGCTTTCAATGTGTTTCCATCTGGGATCATCTTCCTCCTATCCAAATAGCTCTCTTTAGTTTTTCTTTCAATACAGGTTTGCACGCAAATAATTCCGTCAGCTTTCCTTTATAGGAAAATGTCTTTATTTTACCTTCATTATTGAAGATTATTTTCTATGAGTGTAGAATTCTGTGCTGGTAGTTTCTTTTCCCTCAGCCTATTCATGATGCCAGTGCATTGAGTACTGGCCTCCACCGGAGATGTCGAGACTTATCAACTATCAGCTTCTGCTCTTCTAGGATTCTAATTATATGTAAGTTGTGCCTTTTGACTATAACCCACATGTTTCTTACACTCCTGTCTGGTTTTTCCTACTTTTTTCTCCAGGCTTCACTTTGAAAAAAAAAAAATATATATATATATATATAGAGAGAGAGAGAGAGAGAGAGGTCTGCCTTTGAGATGAATAATCCTGTCTGTGCTCTGCTGTATCCATTCTACTATTCAGCCCATGTACTGAGTTCTTAATATCATATATGATTGCTTCAGTTCTAAGATGACTACTCATTTTTTTTAAGTAGATTCCAATTCTGTGCTGAAACTCACCATTTTTTATCTATTTTACCAATCTTTTGCTCTGTTTTCTTCATCATAGTGATATTAAAGTCATCATTGCTCTGCTTTTTTCTCTCTACTTTATTCATAAGTTTCCATTTTTTTAGCACACATAGTAACTTACTGTATAACAACTTTATTGACATATAGTTTACATACCAGCCTTTTAAAGGATGGTTTTTAGTGCATTCACAGAGTTGGACAACAATTACCGCTCTCTAAATCAGAACATTTTCATCAACCCATAAAGGAACTCCATATCCATTGGCAGCCACTCCCCATTGCCATGGCAGCCAACCACTAGCAACCACTAATCTACTTTCTGTCTCTATGGATTTGCCTGTTCTGGACATTTCATATACACAGACTCATACACTATGTGACCTTTTGTGACTAGCTTCTTTCACTTGGCATAATGTTTTCAAGTTTACCTATGTCGTAGAAGGTATCAGTATTTCATTACTTTTGGTTGCCAAATAATACTCCATTGCATGGATATACTACATTTTGTTTACCCATTCTTCAGTGTTTAGACATTTTAATTATTTCCACTTCTTAGTTACTATGTATAATGCTGCTATTAACAGTCATGTACAGGTTTTGGTGTGGAACATAGGTTTCCAGTTCTCTTAGGTATATACTGGAAGAAATTGCTAGGTCATATGATAATTCTATGTTTAACATTTTGAGGAATTGCCAAACTCTTTTCCAAAGTGGCTGCACCATTTTACAATTACAGAAGCAACAGATGAGGGTTCCCATTTCTCTGTATCCTCTCCAACATTTCTCATTGTCTGTCTTTTTGGTTTTAGTTATGCTAACAATTATATAGTGGTACCTCATTGTGGTTTTGGTCCATGAGACACACGCAGTCTCTGCTAAGACCCTCCATGTGACTGGATACTGGGACTTTTTTTGTTCCTTCCTAGTGGCTACCCAAAGTTGTCCAGCATACTGGTGGCTTTGTCTCCAGAACATGCTTTCCTGAGGGTGAATCTCCTACTTTTAGCAACGTTTGCAATCTGGATAGGCTGAGAATTTCCCAAATTTTTAATATATTTGTAGTGTTTCAATACATTATAATCATTATTTTTGATGCTCAGTTTCTCCAATCGTAAGTCAATGGGAGCCCTCTTAAGGTTGACTGCTGTGTTCTTTTGGCACAGTCTTTGATGACTCCCTTAACAATAAAATGTCCCAGGCCAACTTGGATATTTATTACCTTAGATCTAGAAACAGCCATTTCTGAAAGATGCCCTGGTTCATTTTAGGGAGAAATGTTTTTAAAGCTACACCTGGGTGGCTCAGTCGGCTAAGTGTCTGACTTCAGCTCAAGTCATGGTCTCAGGGTCATAGGATGGAGCCCCGAGTCTGGCTCGGAGCTCAGCAGAGAGTCTGCTTCTCTCTCTCCCTCTCCCTCTACCCCTCCCCCTGCTTGTGCTCTCTCTGTCTTCTCGTCTCTCTCTCAAGTAAATAAATAAAATCTTAAAAAAAAATAAAACAAAAAACACCCAAAACTACAGTTTGGGCTCCAAGATGCTCATTGATACTGGGTTGTCATTCATTGATTCTGTGCCTTTTCAGGGCTGGGAAATATGTAGTCTTAAAGATGAAAAAAGTAGGGTGCCTGGCTGGCTCAGTCATTAGAGCATGTGACTCTTGATCTCAAGGTTGTGCGTTCAAGCCCAAAGCTGGGTGTAGAGATTGCTTAAAAATAAAAGCTTTAAAAAAAATAACTAAAAATGAAAGAAGTAACAAATTCATACTAATATTTTAAATTTTTTACTTTTATCTCTTTCACAATGAAAATTGTAGTTCCTAACCACATGAACATAATATTAATTTGCTTTATCGTATGATTTCTATACATTTTAATTTCACCATTTCTTTTATTTTAGCTTTCATGTCCTTAAAGATGAGATGTTTACTAGGCACACATTGTTTCGTCAGTTTGCAGTACTTGCTGATACGTCCTTCAATTATATTGTAAGTACATATAATGTTTAGATACTGTTTGTCTCTTTGATGATATTTGTACATGTCTTTCTGTTCTTATTTAACATTTATTGAGCCCCTGTCTGGAGATAGTATGTGACAGTCATTTGCTAGATACTAAGGATACAAGACCGAGTGCCTGAGCCCAAAGAGCTCAATCTGGTACGAGATATAGATGTGTAAACAAATCCTTTCAATGCAGTATGATTGGGCTATAATAGAGGCAAGCAGAAATTTCAGAGGAGGGGTGACACTAGCTGGGAAGTATTTGTCAGTCTGACCACTTGTGGGCATGGATGGAATGTAAGGAAATAGATCCAAGTATCCAGTCACTTCCACAGGGAAAAAGGAGGCAAAAGAATCTTTTCCTAGTACCAAGCCATTCATTTTCATACTAGAAGTCACTTGTAGATAAAGCCCAATTTTAAAAGACTATTTTTTTAACCTGTGTACTTAATGTTTTTACTTGGGAGCTGTGATTGTAAAGGTAAATGATGTCCAGTGTAGAAATATATGCAGGAAATTTCGAATAGTAAGAAAATTAGCAAGCTATACATGCTATTGAGCACCTGTCATGATGCTAAGTATTCTGGGACAAGGCTTGTGGGAAAGAGCACAAGAAATACAAAATACAGGCTCTTGCTTTAGGAAGCTTCCAATCTAAAATTACTCTTAAAATTTTTTTCAACATTTTTTACTTTGACTTTATTTTCTAAATTTTAAGTTGCTGCCGATGAAAGAACTTAAGAATGTTGGCAAGATAACATTTAATTATTTCTAATTTTTAACTAAATTACCTGGTAATCTGAACCAGCTTGCTGAGCTTTTAATAACTGACTCCCCTGAAATATCCCCAGACTGGATTACATAGATAAAAATATATAGTCTCTTTTTTTATCCTTTTGGGTTTTCCTCTTTCGACTGAAGGTTACAGTTTCGATTGGAGTAATCCTCATTTCAGATATTTAATCAGCTGGACAAATAAAATATTGTTGGACCCATGAGAATGTTGTGCTAACTCAAAAATCGAGCTTTTTGAGGATTACCTGGTAAAACTGTCTGGTCCAAAGGTGAACTGGCCAGGTTTAATGAAAGAGAATTCTAAAAATCTCAAAGTTACACCAGTAAGGCACATTAATAGATCCAGTCCTTGTCTTGAGAAAAATCTCTGACTTGCCCTCAGTCTATCTTCCTGTGAGGAGAGCTAGTGCTCCATCCAGCCCAGAATACGTCCATGTGCCATTACTTCTGTGGGATTCCAGGCTCATGATCCTTATCTATATGTCCACACAGTATACAGGCACTTGAGATACTCGTCGGAGTGGATAGCAAATATTGAAGAAAAATAGACGGGGGCAGGGGTGGGGAGGAGGGAAAGAGAGTGATGAGTGAGTGAGTTATGGATAACTAATTTTTCCTTGGTTCCCTACACTATAGCCACTCCACAAATATTTATTGAGTGTAAACATGCACCAAGCACCATGCTCCGTGCTGGGAGCAAGATAGTGCACATGACAAATAGGGCTCCTTCCTTTACAGGCTATAAATTTCATGAGGGCCACAGACTGGTCTGTCTTGTCAACTGTTTTACTCACAGAGATTAGAATAGTGCCTGACTTACAGAGTAGAAAACATAGATATTAATAAGGAAATATCACAAACTTTAAATGACATATTTGAATAAATGCTATGAAAGAAAAAGTTTAATACTTTCTTACTATTGAGGTATTCATATGGGAAAGTTCACAAATATTAAGTGTATCCTTTCAAGTGTTTTGCCCTGTGTAGTCATCACCTAAATGAAAGGGTAGAACATTTCCATCCTCCCTGAAAGTTCCCTGGTGTCCCTTTCCAGACAATACCTTAGTCACATCCCCACGCTGGACAAATATTGCTCTGATTTCTATCACTGCAGATTAGTTTTGCCTGTTCTTAAAACTTACGCAGATGGAATCATACAGTATGTATTCTCTTATGTCTGGCTTATTTTAACTCAGCATAGTGCCTTTAAGATTTATCCCTGTTATTGTGTGCATCCCTAGCAATTGTTTCTCTGTATTGCTGAATAACATTCTATTGTATGAATAAACAATCATCTGTTTATCCTTTCTCTTCTTGATGGACTCCTGGGCTGTTTCTAGTTAGGAGCTGTTTTGGGGGAAAAAGGTGCTACAAACATTCTTATACTAGTTATTTCCCAAAATATGTTTTTGTAACTCTCACATAGGACTAGAATAGCTGGGACATAGGAATATATATTTTTAAGTTTATATTCCAGAGTGACTGTATCCTATTACTGTACCATCAGCAAAGTGGGAGAGTTCCTGTTCTCCACATCTTCACCAACTTGATATTGTCATTTTCTAAAGTTGGGCCATCCTAAAATAATGTCTCACTGAACTTTTAACTTGCATTCCCTAATAATTAATGATGTTAATATCTTTTGATGTGCTTATTGGCTAATTTTAGATCTTCTTTCCAAAAGGGACTATTCAAGTTGTTTAAAAAAAATTGTGGCAAAATACACATAACTTAAAATTTACCATCTAAACCATTTTTAATTGTGCAGTTTAATAATGTTAAGTACATTCACATTGTTGTGAAACCTATCTCCAGAACCCATTTCATCTTACAAAAAGGAAACTTTGGGGTGCCTGGGTTGTTCAGTCAGTTAAGTGTCCGACTCTTGATTTCAGCTCAGGTCATGATCTCAGGGTCATGAGATGGAGCCCCATGTCTGGCTCTGTGACAGTGTGGAGTCTGCTTGAGATTCTCTTTCTCCCTCTCCCGCTGCCCCTCCTCCCACTAAAATAAATAAATAAATAAATCTTTTAAAATAAATAAATAAAATGAAGCTTCATACCCATTAAGCAATAACTCCCCATTCACCCTTGCTCCCATTTTTGTCTGTTTTCAATTATTATTGAGTTATAGCATTTTATTATATATTCTGGATACAAGTCTTTTGTCATATATATATTTCAAATATTTATTCCCATTCTGTAATTTGTTCTTCCATTTTCAGAACAGCACCTTTTGAAGGTCAGAAATTAAAAACTTTTTTAGAAAATTTAAATTTTATTGAAGATCAACTTAGCTCTTTTTTTCCTGTGGCAGATTGTGTTTTCTGTGGCCTTAACTATAGCCTACATTCAGTATATACTTCTGATGTGATTTTGATCTTTGTTTTCCCATTGAATTTCACATTTCACTGGTTCCTTTGTTCTAATTCAATTGACAATGTATATTTGAGTCTGTTTCTAAACCTCTATTCTGTTCCATTGGTCTATTTGTCTGTCCTTTACCCAATACTATATTATCTTAATTAATATTGCTTTATAATAGGTCTTGAAATCAGGTGGTGTAAGTTCTTCCATTTTATTCTTCTCCAGGATCGTTTTGGCAATTCTATTTTTTTTGTTTTGTTTTGTTTTAAGATTTTATTTATTCACTTGAGACACAGAGATACAGAGAGAGAGAGCGTGAGCAGGGAGAGACGCAGAGGGACAGGGAGAAGCAGGCTCCCCGCTGAGCCAGGAGCCCGATGTAGGGCTCGATCCCAGGACCCTGGGATCATGACCTGAGCAGAAGGCAGATGAATAACCATCTGAGCCACCCACGTGCCCCAATTCTATTTTTTTTTTTTAAAGATTTTATTTATTTACTTGAGAGAGAGCACATGAACAGAGTAAGGAGCAGAAGCAAACCCCCGCTGAGCAGGGACCCTGGGATCATGACCTGAGCTGAAGGCAGATGCTTAACCAACCGAGTCACCCAGGCGCCCTGTTTTGGCAATTCTATATTCTTAGTACTTCTATATATGTTACATGCAGTTACAACAACAAGAACCAAACAAGTCTGAGTCCTACCCGCTCTGGGTAAAACAAGGGCTTATGCATGGTTTTGTTCCTCCAAGTTTCATTTCAGCCTTAATTGCATCAGTATATCCCTCCTTTTCTTCTAGTCTGTGTTAACTTTATTCTGTTTAGAGAACTACATTATTACTATGGGATTCTTTCTATCACATGAAAGTATTTTTGATTAACTTCTGCTTTTCATTTTGTAACTGTATGAATAGCAGTTATTTGTATCTACATTTACATGTTTATTTTTAGCCTTTTAAAAATCATGACTTCTGGGGGCTCCTGGAGGGCTCAGTTGGGTAAGCGTCTGCCTTGGGCTCAGGTCATGATCCCAGGATCCTGGGATCGAGAGTCCCACTCAGCGGTGAGTCTGCTTCTCCCTCTCCCTCTGCCCCTCCCCTCCTTGGGCTCTCTCTCTCTCTCTCTCAAATAAATAAATAAAATCTTTAAAAAAAATCATGACTTCTACCATTCTTTAGTTCTTAATTTTGATTTATTTCTTATAAACAGGATCATTTCTTTGAGTTTCTTTTTTTGTGGAAGGAACATTATCTTCACTTTGTTATGCCTTGCCCTGACTGAAGCCAGTTTAGTATTTGTTTTTTGCTAATTAATTTGGCTTATTTTCCCCCAGTGGATGTTTATAAGCTATTTTCTTTAAATTTGAAATTTAAAGGTGTCACCAGGAAATGAGTTAACACATGTTATTTTATTAATTTCCCTTGAATAAAATGAGCCACTCTCATCTATAGATCTAAATCTTTTTCTTTTCAACTCAGACAAGTTTCTTATGTACACTTCTAATGATTGCATCTACAGGATTTGTTTTTGTTTCTTTTTCAGAAACACTATGATAAATTAAAAATCTATTTTCTGTCCTCCATAGTTGACGTGTTCTTTTTAATTTAATGTTATTCTCTTTGTTCTTTTCCTTGGCATTTTTAGGAAACCCTTCCAGTCTGTGCCTCTCATCAGAATTTCCCAAACTTGTTTTAAGAGTTCTAAGATAGTGATTGTCCTTGGCCCTCCAGGGGGCAGGGATGGGGCCATGACTGGGGTAGCCTGAAACTCCTGTCCCACTCTCTAAGTCCATGAGCAACCTTGTCCACTTCCCCCAGTGCTCCCTGC